CTTTTGTTACTCTGGCCTTTATCTTCCACCATAGCTCCCTCTGCTCCTCTGTTTTGTTTTTTCATTTGTTTGTTTTTTCCCCACTCTGTAACAGTCAAATGTCAGTCGTGCTCTGGTGCTTGGAAGGAAGGAAGGAGTAGCACTTTGTGCACGCAGATATTGTTCTCTACCCAGTGTGTGTCTCCTGATTATACAGTGTGCAAAACAGGCTTTTTTTCTTCTTAAAGCTGAGGAATGAGGTTTATACAACTATTTAACAGGGTTCCTGGAGTTAGAAATGTTTGCAATCTTGAATTCCTGGCGATGGAATATAGTTTGGTTCAAGGTTAGAAACTGTGTGGGGTGCTTCTGCTCAGAGAGTGCAAGTGTGTATCTTGCTGCCTTTGGTGTGACTGCAAATAATGAGAGGGATTTGAAGCAATGGGTTTATCAAAGTGCTCTGGATTGAGAGGCGTATTTCACATTTCTCCTTTCCATGTTATTTATCACATCCTTTTTTCCTCATCAGCAATCTCCCATGTCAGATGAGTGTTCTGTTATAAGCTACTGGTGGATAGCAGGAGAAATCTTCATTACATTTGATCATTAAAGGAAATGTGTGACTTTTTCCTCTTCAAGAATAGAGATTTTCCATAAGAAGCACAATAAATTTGGTGGTGTTGAAGGGCAAGAAGGTGGCTTAAGGGGGTCCGGTCTATTCTCTTCTTTCCCTCTAAGAAAAAGGAGACTCAGCTAAGCAGCTTGATGTGGTACAGATCAGTGAAAAAAACTACTTGTCTTGAGGAAGTTTGGTAATGAGAAAGGAAAATAAAAGCACACATCCTTCCCGGTGTGCAATGCCCTGAAGGCCAATATGTGAGCAGAAGCAGCTTTGGTGGGTAGGTGAAGGTGGGCAGGCTGCTGGTCCACTCCACCAAACACAAAGGTACTTTATGGAACTGGCTATAGAAAGATTGTTCCTGTTGTTGCTTCTTAGCAAGGAGACGAAGTGCTTAGCTTGTATAACTGGAATGTGCAACAAATAACAATGTGCAACCTACAGTTGCAAATGCTTTTTTTACTAGGAGAGTGGGTGGTAATTTGTATGCAACATTTCTGAAAATGTGTATTGTGTATTAAACATATTGATTGCATGCAAATGAGAAGGAATAAAACTGACTCTTCCAATGCAAACAAGGTACAGAATGATACATTTACCTTTGTTAAGATTACTCACTGTTTTGTGACTTTGTTAGCAAGCACTTAAAAACTGTATTCCTTTTCTCAGTGCTGAAACCATGGGAAACATACAGTTTTAGCATGTTACAACACTGGAGGCAAGGCTTGCTTGTGCTCTGTGTTGTGCAGAGATAGATAGATATATAGAAGTATGTGTGTATGTCTCGGTTGTTCCTCAGAATAGAGAGGAATGGATAAGTGCAACATTCACATCCCTCTTGCACAAAGAAGTTGTTAATGTGGAGTTATTCCCAAAGTTAAGAAGCTGCAAACAAGACCTTGGGTTCCCTGTGATTCATGACAACTGAGCTGTTGGGCCTTTGATTCTCATGGTCTCTCCAGCCCATAGTTCCAAAGGAATAATGAATATCCAGAGTGTGGAAACCAAGATATCCATCTTCTTTGTGGGAGGGCTTTTTTTTGTTTGGTCTGTTTTGTTTTTTCCTCCCTGATATTTCTGCAGCTTCAGCCTTGAGACCTTGTTCTGTGAAGCTGCTGGGAGACTCATTGGATCCGGCTAACAGTAAGGTGAGGAGGGCTGGTAGAGACATCTCATCGCCATTGTAAGGATAGAGCAGTGAATGCTACTGAGCTTACTCCAGGAAATGTTGCTGATAGTTTGATTTGTATCTCGCAGTGGTGGAGGCCCAGACAAGATAAATGTGCTTAGTTAGTGCTATGGTTTGTGTTGCCTTGCAACACGCCCTGTGCACCAGCCTGTAGTGGCATGGATGTGGGATGGTTTGGCTGAGGTAGGAGGAGAAAGCTTTCTGGCAAAAACACGTCTGAGTGAGATTGTTGGCTCAGAGGCTTGACATTGTAAACTCAGGGAAGTAATATGCCTCTTCAGAATGCAGAATTTACTTTCTTGAGATCAGGGTGTTGCCTTGAGCACATTGTGCCTGTTTAACATAGTGAGCTTTTTTTACACGGTATTATAAATGGTGGTCAAGCAAGAACTTGAAAGCAAAGAGATGTTAGCTCTTGACAGCTTCACCTGTTGGTTTGTTCTACTTAAAATCTACTGCCAATGCAATGAATTCTCTGTTGCTATTTTAATCCCTGTGAAATTCCACAGAGAGTTTCCAGTGATCTTATTAATTACTTTATGAACAAGAAGGAAAGGGCCTATTCTGCCAATGTGTTTTTTTCTTTTGTTTTCTTTTTTCTTCTTTGTGTGAGAAATGCCATTGTTAAAAGAAGGCGAGTGATTTCAGATTTCAGCATGAAGGCTTAGAGCTGTTTAGGGAGCTTCTTAGACTTCAGTGTACCTGAGCTCAGAGTTGTGCTGGAACATTTGCTAGTGTTACTGGGAACAGGGATGGAGAACTGTGATGGGATGGTAGGTGTGGACAATATGGCATGCTAGCTGGTGCTATGTCACAGCTGGAGAGCAACCAGCTGAGCCTATCTTGCACTGGGAGCTAGTGGCAGAAGCAGGAATTTCACTGATGTCTAGAAAAGTTCAGTTTTACATATTTGTGTGTGAACATCAGAAGTTGTGGCTACAGAACATCAGGAAGCTGGAGACAATACAGTCAATAGTAAATGACAGGAAATATGCTTATTTTGAAAAAGGCTTCCAAGTAATAAGGAAATAGCAAAGTCAAACGTTGCTCCATATTGTGCTGAAGACAGTACTGAGATGCAGCTCAGAATTATGAAGATGCAGGTCAAATTGTGAAAGTGTGCCATGTAACTACTTCTTCACTATATTTCCTGTTGTGGTTTCTAATCCAGTCTTTATCCCAGCACCTCATCTGTTTACAGGTTGGGGTTTTTTGAGGAGAAGGTCCCAGAAGCCAGGCAGTGGTGGTGCCCTGAGTAGAGACAAGCTTCTTGTCTACCTTCCGTGTACTCCTTTGCTTTTATTTGTGCTGGATGCTGTCTACTGTTCTTCTATGTAGTCAGGCTGTTTGGTTTTGCTCTGAATTTCCCTTAAAGATGGACTAACCTGTATAATTTGCAAATATTCCAATATTCATTCTGATTTCTTGTCAGTGCAGGTTCTTCAGCATCACATTGCTAGCTAAGTGGGTAAGAGAAGCTCAAGCTCTGTGTCCTCCAGCATGTTTTGTTTTTAGTAGTTCTGTTGTCCTCCAAGTCAATGTGCTTTCTTTACAGTACAAGCTTCTATTTCTCATGTTTCTAAAACAAAGCTTGTACACATGACCTTGGATTCACCATTATGCCAAAAAAAGCAACCACATTGTTTAAAGTAACACTGCTCCTACAGCAAACAGATGATAATTATTGCAAGCTTTCCCAACAGATGGGCTTCATATGTTCTGCATCACACCTGCGTGCATTTTCTTACTTTAGAGCGTTTTTCCATTTGAGTGTTTTCATCGTTGAACACTTATTTTAACGAATTCACCATGAGAAAAGTTGTTTTTTTTTTTTCCCTCAGGAAAATAACAATTTCCATAAAACACAAAAGGTATTAAAAGCCCATCTAAATAATTTTAAGATACTTTTGCTCCATTTTAATATGTGAAAGGAAAACAGATTAATCTGAAATTCTAAAGTTTGCACAGAAATGCCTTTTACTTTACTGCAGAGACTTGCCGTAATGAATTACAGGCAGCCTTTTAATGCATAAAGGAGTGTGTGCTAATACAAAATGAGGTGGATTTTTCAAAACACAAACAACTCAGAAATTGTAAGTTATTCCACGCTCTACTTACAAGATAGCCAAACTGATATAAACCAATTTGTAGCATCATCTTCAGTTTCTATTTCAGCAGTTCTGCTTGAAGCCAGACCTTTTTTGTTAATACGGAGTTCTTCTGGTGCAAGGTAAAAATTGATGGTCTGCTATTTCTAACATTTTACAAAAACCTCCCCTCTGAATAGACTTCTCTAAATTAACCATTGCTTGTGCAATTATTTTCTACTTCTTACAAAGCCAAAGCTGAAAGAAGCAATTTAAAAGCTCAATTGCTACTTGGAATTTAATTTGCCTTTAACATGAAGAAATTCTCATTTCAAGATTGTTTGCAGCCATTTCTCTGGTCAATTTAATGGGATTTTTGGGGTGTGCACAGACTTCAGGATCTAATGCTTAGGGATTTAGAAATGAAGAGCTGTCATGCAAGTGATTCCAGATGTTCAGATTCTTTTGTCAGACAGTATCCTGACTCTTCCCATGACATAAATTGTACCAAACATCTCATGATTGTAAGATGCTGCCTCTCAAGTGGTATTTTGTGTAGCTGGGCTGCACTGAATTTATCTGATCCACATGTTTCACTGTGGAGAAGGGAGCTATGTGGTGTCGAGACAGCTAAGCTGATCCCGGGTTTAGATACCACAGAGCCCCAGCAGCATCCATGTCCTGTTAGTCTGCTGAGTCCAAGTCCTAGGCTTTAGGATGTAGCATTAATCCACTCACCACAACCAGTGCACCCAGGAACACACAGCAAGTAAGCTGCTGCTTGTCGCTTATGGACAAGGCAGATGTCATCTCTGCAGTGTGAGCTACAGAGCCAGGATGTGACTCAGAAAGCAGACTGGGCATACAGGACCAATGGATTCAACCCACAGCAGTCCTGATGACAGCAGGCACCAGGCCTGTGTGTGACCAGCATCAGTGCTGTCAGCTGCTGTACATGAGGCCAAAATATTGTGCTTGGCTACCTTTATTCCTCTTTTCCTCAATACATAAATCTAAGTTTAAATAAATACATTTGAAAACTACATGTAAATATAAAGTTAATTTCATTTCCAAGTCTTAACTGAATGCTAACAATCTATGCATAAATAAAAAAATAAATGCCCATCTGTGTTTGCTTTATCCGATACTACGTTTGCATCTATGTGATTCAGAAATGGAGTCCTCAGGCTTTTCCTGTTACTCCAGCAGGGAGGGAGTCCTCTATCTGGAAGCTGGCTACCTGATGCTGCAGTGCTAGCAGAGGTGCTGCATGCACCAACTGCAGCAGTAGCTGTTGTCTGAACTTCGGAGGGTAGTATACCTCAACAGCATACCACAGAGCTTTGGCCCTGCGCATTCAAGGCATCTTTTATTGAACCAACCACAACAAGTGGAGTGAGGACAGAAAAATAGGCCACGAGCAGTTTGTAAGTGTTTTCCAATTGCTCTCTTTACGCCCATTTGTTGTAGTATCTGAGGAATAATTCCCACCATCAGAAAAAAAAAAAATTGGTCATTTTTTAAGACAGGCTCTATCTTCTCATGCATGGAATTGGTAACCACTGAGCTTCAATATAAACTTTTCTTTCCTGGGTAATAAAACTTCTCATTATCCTCTTGAGGTACTGACAGTCTTCATTTATTGCTTTCAGATCTCTCAGGGGACTGCAGAGCAGATAAAAAATGAGTACTTCAATTTTTACAAACTTTTAGTAGATGCTATGTTTTCATAACACAGAAAATATTACACATCTTGTCTTCCTGGCTGGAGAAATGAGCTCTTTCATATTGCAGTTTTAAGGGGATGAATTCATCTGAGAACTACCATTTGTCCTGGGAAAAAGATGAGAAGAGATAAACAAAATAAATAAACATTTGAAATGGAAATAGTGACTTAGTAGCTGCACGAAGCTGAAAGCAGAATCCAAGGGATTTCTTTGCACGTATCGTAGTTTGACATGTTAAATCAAGAGAAAGAACACACGGAATCTGCCCATTCTTTCCACTGACTGCTTCCATGCTCAACTCCATTAAATAATGTTAACAACTCCCAGCCAACCAATGGACAATATATTGAAATGGTTAGTTCACCATATTGTTAAATCTAATCCTTTTCATTCCCATTACATTAAGATACTCAATTTGCTTTCAAGCTGAAGCTTTACACACTTGGGGGCTCTTGTGTTTGGTTTCATCCATACACACCCATCAATATCTACCAAGATATCAATATCATAAAAATGAGGTTGCGATGCTCTGAGTTGAAGTTTTAGGAAAGGTTCCATCCCCTTTTGCAATGTTCACAGATCAGACAAGGGTTTCACCACTGGGGGAGGATGTGTGGCTTCTGTGAATCAGCAGAGCTGGCTCTGTACTTGGCCTCCTGCCATCACCAGGGATGTGCCTGCTGATATTGAGAGACTGCTGTTAGCGCGCTGCTGGCACACGTTGGCACCAAGGTCCCTACAGCAGACCAGTGTGATGCAGAGCAGTCCTCAGGACTAACCTCACAGCAGCACGTTGGTATGAAGTCGCTCTGTCATTCTCTCTGGGATGCGCCCAGCAAATCCCTGGCTGAGCCATGCAAATAGGCCTTGGGCACATTTCCAGGCTGCGTCAGTGAGTTACAGTGCCTGCTGGGAGCAGGGCATCAGTCAGTAGCTGCATGAGCTCCTGCTCTGCCGGGTGCAGAAAGGTACTTTGGCATGCCTTGGGAAGAGTAGGAGTTTGCTGCTTGCAGGATACCTCTAACTGTTAGGGCTGAACCTCAGACTAGTTTTTCACCTCTTAAAGCAAGCCAAAATGTTAAAAATAAAAAACTCCCTCAGCCTTTTTGAGATGAATTTCTCTACCTTTTTTTTTTTCTTCCCCCACCCCCCAGTAAACAATGTTTTTAGACAAAGTTAGAGGGGATTAACAGGCCTAACACTATTTCCTACTGATAAGGGACAAACATCATTAGAGAAAGCACCTTTCCGGAACACTATGTGTTCTTTATCAATACTGGCCACAGCGAGTTGTTAAATCGGAAATATTCCTCTTCTGAAGTTTCTTGTGAGCTTTCTATTCTTTGCATATAGTCCCTATCCTCTTTGTTTCTTTCCTCCTTTGCTGTTTACTGCTGTTTTAGCTCTTAAAAAATCCTTTTGCTCTGAGTCAGATCAGCTCAATCTAAACAATACTGTCCTGTGAGTGCTTTTTTACTGCCTTGTGGCTAAGGTCTGCATCCCAGGTCCCATCCTGGACCTGGCCCCATGTTCCTGCCATGCACTCAGCTCTAGAGTCCCTCTCCCAACTTACCCTCATACTGAAGGGCTCCTTACTGCTTCTGCTTTGCTTTCCTTCTTACACACTGGCATGCCTAACTGAGCAGCTTGGGAGCTAGTTAAAAAGCGTGTTCAGTGTTTTGGGCTTCCTTTTGCAATAGATAAGTAAATAGATCTTTCCTAAACTCTGTGGCTCTAATCAGTAAAGCAAAGGTGGAAAAAAATCTTGGCCTAATGGAAACCACAAAGGTAAGATCATGCACTACGGGAGTAAGGACAGATGAAGCAAATGATGCTCAGTTTCACAGCCAACTTGTTTTTGTGCTGCTTTTTTTTTCATTTTTTTCCCTTGTTAGTCAGTACTACCATCATTCAATAATCTCCTTTCGCAGAATAGGCCATATGGCAGTAATGCTAATCTGCTTTAATTGTATCCTTCCACTTTCTAGCCCTCTATAGCTTCATGGCCCCTGTGCTCAAGGCACTGAAGCAGAGCTCTCCTTGAACCTATTGTTTTTGCATAGTTGTTGTAACCCTTTGGGCAAGCTGTAATTCCCCTTTTTGTTTCACAAGACTGGAAGTCAATCAGCTGCACCCAGGAGATGTGGTACTTTGCTGGTGCTCTCAAGTCTGCTTCAAGTCACTACTGGTCCTCCCAGGTGCATGTTCAGCGGGCAGAGTGTTATAAAACCACTTCCTAAGACTGGTTTGAACAAATGCTGACATACAAGTAGCTCTGTGCTCCTGTGGCACAGCTTGTGTAGATGAAAAATAAATGCTGGCATTAACCTGTCAGATCCAGCTAGTCCTGCTGACACCACAGTGCAGTAGTTCCTGCTCAGTTATTTGCTTTGTTCTCTAGTACGTAGGATTCTTGGTGTATGCTGCGGTGTGAAAATAGGAGCTGTTATAAGACAGAAAAACCATAACAGCTCCTTCTGCCCCACTCTCTTACCATCCGGTGTTGCAGAGCTCCGGGCCTGCTCTGAGCCACAGACAAGGAGCGTTGTCAGGAACTCAGTGCTGCAGGTGCCTGCTCGCTTCTTTCCAACATAAACCATTCACACAACAAGTCTGATCTTTTCTGTGACTGGTGTGTCTCTCTGTGCAGGCCTGCTGCCAGCAGCACGTGCATAGGTGGGCGAGAGTCTCTCTGCCTCTCTGCCTCCCGGCCTCTGCCATCATCTTGAGATGGCAGCCCTGCCTGGCTTGGCCTGTACCCACCTTCAGACAGGTACCATAGGGAAATGTATCTCACAAACCAAAATGTGTTCCTCATGAGGACTGAGGCAGCTTTGTGAGAAGCTGTCTTCCTTTCAGTCACACAGTTTACCATGGATATGAGTTCAAGAACAGGAACACTCTCAAGAGAATTATGTGTGCATTCAGATCTGCTAACAGGAAGTAAAACCAGCAGCAGGCTGAGCTGACACATCACTGTAAGTGAGCCAAGTGAAAACCAAAACCAGATTAAAACACTCTTTTATTTTGAAGCCTTTGAATCCTAAGCTTTATCTACATTTTGTAGTTGAAGCAGGTAATACTTACCAGCAAGCATATCAGCTGTCTGCTTTAGCCTACGGTTGCCTTTAAGCCAGGGGTTAATCTCCTGACAGGTACTTTACCACACCACAGATTCTGTCCCTGATCTTCATAGGGTAGTGCACAAGCAGAATAATAATCACTCTGAAGACTTCTTTCTAAAAGCACCATAGATACATCAGTTTGAAAATTAGTTAAGATGTGGCAATGGCAAATAAGAAATGTTTTTTCTTAATAGTTGCACTTTATTTGTGGGGAAGTCATTTTAACAACATTTTGCAGAATGAAATAAAGCAGTTCTCTTAAGAAATGAAGCGTTCTTTCAAAAACAGTTATGCTACCCAGTCTGTTTTCACTTGGTGGGAACAAAACAAATGAGAGATTTACTTGATCTAAACCCAGTGACTGCATCAACTGTAAAAGTGATGTTAGTCATGGTAAGGAATATAGCATCTATTCTACTGGATCACCTGGCAGCACAGATCTGATGCTGTCAGATGTGAAAACCTCAGTTTGCCCATAAACTTGGTAGTGTTTAGCCAATACTCCAGAAATCAGCCTGGGCCAGAAGGAAAACTTTCCACCTTTAGGTGGAAACATGAAGCAAGGTGAAGTTTATGGCATGTTGGGATCCAAATGCTGATGCTATCATGTTTGCACAATCTGGGTAGAACAGTTTCTGCAGAAGTTCATAATGCCAAGAGGTCTGGAAGTTCTCAGATATGCCATAGGTGCACTTCAAATCTGAGAATGTGGAAAGGATACATCCTGAAAGAGTTTTCTTCTGTTGTTAGAATAGGAAGTGTTAATTGTTCCCTTACTTGGCTCTTTAATAGAAGTCAAGTACCAGGAAGAATGTTTGCAAATGCCTTCACAAAAATCAAGAACGCCTTTGCTAATCATTTGCACCAGAAATCATCTAGGTGAAAAATGTTTTCCTCTTCGTAATTACGTCATACGTAAAGAAACATACAAGGCTCCTGGGAGTATCTGCATACTTAAATGACACCTGAAGCTACACAGAACTGTGTTGGGCCGAGGCAGATATTTTGGAAGCTATATTATGTGCTGCATTCAAACATTTAAATTTTCTTGAACAGAAAACAGAATGTGCCAAAGCCAGACCCTCCCCTTAGCTTGTGTCTGAGCAGGTGAGCGGGCTTCAGAACTCCCCAGGAAGTTTGCTTTCCAGGAATGGATGATAATCTTTTCCGTAACAACTCAGAGTCTCTTTTACACTGTGAATAGCATGACTTCCATTTTTTTCCTTGCTCACACTTAGATTCTTTTACTTAAATGTATCCCTAAAACATGGGGGATTACTGTAATATAATCAGATGAAGTATTTTCCTTACTTTCAATTGTGTTTAGCCTTAGAATGATGTTATGTTACTGTGAAGGAAGGACTGGGTTTGTTTATAACTGAAATATGACTAGAGTCTAATAGTATTTCTGTGTTCATTTATCAGTGTTTAAATAACCACATCTTTTCCTATCTATTATTTTTCTGGAACTTGAGCAGTAAAATGTTCTTCACTCTTAATTTTTAAGTTTATTTGTTCTATGTAGACTATATTCCTTTTATAAATTATGCCCTCTCTATTATGCTATATAAGTCCAAGCCAGTTTCCTTGAATCTCCTTTACAAAAGTATTTTAAACATTTCTCAGGACCTTTTTCTAGTCTTTGGTATTCTCAGATATGTAGAAGATATAAATCTATGCTACTTTCTATAGCTAAGGCTATTCTGCTTAACAGCTTAGTATACACAATCAGAAGAAGTTTGGACATTACACAAGTAGTCTGATATAAACAATTGACTCCTATAAATAAATTAAGTAGAAATATGAAAACAACAGTGTCATGTAAAGTGATTTAGTCTACACAGGAATCTAAGTGCAAAATGTCATCCTTTGGATGCCAAATATTGTATTAATATGGGATGAGAACAAGCCACTTACTCAAGCTAGCATCTCTATAGTCCCAACATTCTGCCATTCCAACGTCAGTATCAGAAAGAGCAAT